GCCTAACCATCGGTGACCATCATCCCGAGGTCCCCATCCAGGGAGCCTAACGGGGCCTATGTGACCCAGAATCCTGGTTAGGGTTTTCATATCCTCATGTCACGTCTTCGTTGAACCACCCTTGACCTTTCTCCAACCGCTGCCTACCTCGGCAACCATCGCTCGCCATGGCAACTTATTTGGTGACATGCGTAACACACGCCCCAACCAAAATAATATATGGAGGTCGATCACTTGCTCCAGTGGACGAACACAACTGCCTAAAACTAAACCTAACCTCAGCATTGCTCTCCCGGTTACCCCACCAGACTCGTGTAATGTGACGTAACCCCAGCTTTGATGCTTGATGGTCAAGAATTAGTTATAGTGGATTGTTTCACCTGCTGAGGTAGTAACGTGACAAATGACGGCAACGTAGTCAAGGAAGTAACCGCCTACATTTTCAAGGTTAGTGCAGTTTACGCAGGACTGAAACACCTTTAGTACGGATATGATGTTTCCCTGAAACTGAAAGGTCACGTATATTACGCCAGTGTGCGGTCTGCTCTGCTTCACGGTGGACACCCTCAATTTGCGCGAGTAAGATATTCATCGAGTAGAAGTCCATCATTGTCGATGTTCATAGAGTTTGGCTGGATGGAGCGAGTCTGAGGTAAGTCAGTGTATATTCGGTAAAGATTCGGACCTCCAAAAGCCTCAGTATGGTCGGGGGTGAGTGTCTAGGGTTGTGGCTGGTCACCCTGCCCTTGCACCTCGTGAAATGCTCCCGTACGACCATGCGTCTCGAGTAGCATCTGCCGAGGAAAACTTACTGATTTCTCGAGGTGGAGGTGCTTCCCAACCAAAGTGAGAGGACGAAAAGCCGACACCCAAGGCTATAACCGGGTTGGTGGACCACTGGTAGTTCAGCTAGGGGAGTTGGCCAAAAACCATGATTCCAAACCAACCATGGGGAGGTGTACGAACCACACCACATCTTTTCGGTTGTGGTAATGGTCATCGGATCCATTGGGCATTGAGGTGTATTGGGCACCTTGGACGTTTGACCCTGTCCAAAGGGTGTATGATCCGATGAACTGGGCGCCGGCTTCCAATGGACTGCGGTTTTCACACACCGCCTCGCTGCCTCGCGCGTCAGGCTCCGGTCGTGAATTCCTCAAGAAAATTCACCTGCCTTGGCCTGGATAATCCGGTGGTATTCAACCCACAAGCCAATCATGGGACGTATTTTGCTGTTTTATAAAGATTACTGTACCACGATTTGCCTGGCACAGACAAGTGTGAAATATAATATAATATAATAATGATTCGGTGGAAAATTCGTTAGTACAATCCAGATGAGTAGATCTTGCTGGTTAGAATACGTATCGCGCATGCTCAGCTACCCTATCTATTTTGTGCTTTCTCGCTTACTTTATGTGCACTGAGTTATGGGATAAATAAAAACACTAAGTGACATTTGGATACTACGACATAAGTAAAGGTAGCACATCTTTCTGATTATAATTTGTATGAGAATAAGAGTAACGAATATTATTTACCAAGCTGAGACCAAGAGTAATGAACCTCATTTCTATTAGGCTGGGGACAATAACAAGTTACGGTAAGAAGAATACTCTGAAGAACGGAAGAACATAGCTGAGTGCTTCACTCTAAGTTGCCTCAGCTTATGCATATGAAAAGATAAGCCACCTCGTTACCAACACAGATTCGCACGTGGTAGCATCACTGCAGATTGCTCCCTATGACACCTCCTAGGTATTTGGTTGTGTTTCTGGTCATGCTTACTGAGGTGATAATCGAGGGTTTCAATGAACACTAATCGCAAAAGACTAAAGGCGAGTGTCAAACATTTAGAAGCCAAAAGACAGCAACCAAAACTGGCGCACGAAAGTGCATGGTTAGTGGTTGTAAAAGCTGAAACTTTAGCGTAAGTCCGTATTAGTTCAGTTTAGTTCACTTTTTACAACCATTAACCATGCACTTTCTTGTGCTAATTTTGGTTGCCCATTTGGATAAAACAGCAGAACGTAGGCATACTTGAGTATCTTGGCTGGAGGGACGAGGGGCAACTAGTTTAAGAATGCCGAAAACAAGTTTGTCGAAAGCACAGTATACTGAAAGACACAGTGTACTGATCAGAAGGTTAGAACCAGTTCTGTTTACTTTTATTCTTTGAATCCTCTTCGAGAAAGTATTGCGATCACGACAACGTCCTGGGACAAACT